CTATTATATCATATAGCCTGTTGAGGAAGAGAAGGAAACTACACAGCTCGAAATTCAGTATGAACACATAGCCTAAAGGAACACAGCTTATGAAAGGAGCATGTTTTAATTAAGTTGTTATTTTTTAATTTATTTTTTTACAAAGCTTCTCTTGGGCATGCAAATTTAATTTATGCTTACAGTCTTATGTACACTTCCACAACTCTTACCCTGCGTATGCGAATCTTTTTGACGTCATTCTACCTTCATATTCTACACAATTATTTTATGGGTTTATTTGAATGATGTGCATCTCATAAGTTGAGGTTAATATATTGTCTGCTCTGACCTGAAGGTGGCGTCGCTGATCAGAGGTCAGTTTGGTCCTGCAGTCCAGGATTTCCTCATCGTTGACTGTCGTTACCCATACGAGTACCAAGGAGGACACATTAGGGTACTTAAACCTTCAATTACTCAGCGTTTTAATGTAATGAGGTGTTCATGTTGAATATCTCCATTAAAGATCTAATCAATCCAATGCCCAGACTCAACTTTACCTAAAAATAACTATTCAAAACCACTTATAAATCAATCCAAACATCGAGTGAGGCTATGATCGGAATAGCATACTATGTGAATATATTGTAAAATGTAATTTATTTCTGTGAACAAAGCTGAATTTCCAGCATCATTGCTCCAGTCTTCAGTGTCACATGATCTTCAGAAATCATTCTGATATAATGATCTGCTGCTCAAGAAACATTTCTGATTATTATCAGTGTTGAAAACAGTTGTGCTGCTTCATATTTTTGTCGAAAGCATAATGTATTTTTCAGTATTCTTTGATAAATAGAAAGCTCAAAAGAACAGCATTTATTTGAAATAGAAATCTTTTGTAACTTCATAAATGTTTTTACTCTCACTTTAGATCCATTTAATGCATCCTCGCTCAATAAAAGTATCAACTGACTCCAAACTTTATATTTTTATATACTAATGTCACATTGAATTCATCAGCAGGATGTTTGGTCTTCATATCTCAACCTTTAACTCATTCAGGGAGCAGTGAATCTGTACGCCGAGTCTCAGATCCAGCAGGCGGTGCATCAGGCCTCTGCAGGAGCTGAACTTTCCCCCTGCCCCGCAGGAAACGCCTCCTCCTGGAGGATGAGGGGACAGCGGGCGGCTCATTCATCTGACTCACTCCCAGAGGAGAAGGGCTCGTCGCCACGGAAACTGATCATCTTCCACTGCGAGTTCTCATCGGAAAGAGGCCCTCAACTGTGAGAAACACACTCGACACACACACACACACACACTGAGTGTGTTTATGATGACACATGACACACACTTCTTACCTGATCAACAGGTGTCAGTATCTGAGGCGGCTGGACAGACGAGTGAATGTGTATCCCAACCTGCACTATCCTGAGCTCTACCTGCTGCTGGGGGGTTACAAATTCTTCCATGCGTGTTACCCGGTACAGTACAACACGATATCTAACTGCCTTAACCACAGTATGCTGCAGCATCTCAGTCCGGTGTCTCTGTGTCTCAGGATCTGTGTGATCCCTGCGGTTACGTGGCCATGCGTCACCGCGAGTACCGGGAGCAGCTGCACGGATACCGCAGGAGAAGACCAACACGGCAGCGAAGACGACGGCCAATCAAAATACATCAAAGAACCACACGTTAAATACCATACATATATATATAAAAATAAAAAAGTTTAGTATATAAAAATATAAAGTTTGGAGTCAGTTGATACTTTTATTGATGTTTTAAAAATAAACAAGTAACAAAAATGTGATTAAATTAAATAGATAAACTGACCTAACATACCGTTAAAATATTTAATTACTGCACTTAAACCCAGTTGTACAACACGGCAGCGAAGACGACGGCCAATCAAAATACATCAAAGAACCACACGTTAAATACCATACATATATATATAAAAATAAAAAAGTTTAGTATATAAAAATATAAAGTTTGGAGTCAGTTGATACTTTTATTGATGTTTTAAAAATAAACAAGTAACAAAAATGTGATTAAATTAAATAGATAAACTGACCTAACATACCGTTAAAATATTTAATTACTGCACTTAAACCCAGTTGTACAACAGTAATTTCTCCTTTAAACTAATGACAGTACAAAGACTCCGCGCGCGCATCAGGAAGCGTTCTGTCCTCGCGCAAAACGACCTCCAAACACTTCCGCTCCGCTCTACCGTCAGCATCTCTCCTCGGCGTCTCCTCCGTTAACATTCCGTTACGAGTGACCGCGCGTGATGGCCGCGTATAAGCTGGTGCTGATCCGCCACGGCGAGAGCTGCTGGAACCAGGAGAACCGATTCTGCGGCTGGTTCGACGCCGATCTGAGCGAAACCGGAGCGGAGGAGGCCAAGAGGGGCGGCCAGGCCCTGAAAGGTGATCCGGTGTCCGTTTATTAAACTCATCTTCTCGTGCTGTGTTATTACTTGTACAAGCTTGTCCTTTGGCAAGTGCAATGCAAGAATTTTAGGTTGCCAAAGCGTTACTTGGTGATCGTTTTGTGTCCAAACAAACAAACAATGAATGAATGAATGAATGATCAATCCACCCACAAGTCGTTGTGATTAAAGATTGTTTACAGATGTAACATTGATGTTGGTATAACTTCGGCTAAATGATCTCAATGGAGCAGAAAACCAAGAAGTGGAAAAGGATGTTGCTTCACTTATCTGTCAGTGCCATTTTTAACAATATTGCCAAAAACACATCATAGTATTTTTAAAATCATAAATTTTTTTTTTTTTAAATAAAATCCATTAATTTTTATTTATATGCAACTATAACAATATATATATATATATATATATATATATATATATATATAAATTTATAATAGTTAATTTATAATAATATATCCTGTTGAAATTTAATTATTGCACTTCCACCCAGTCGTATAACTATAACTAAACATTTTTTCTCCGTAATTTGTAGCACAGTCAAGCTACTCTTCCTCATTTCTTCTTTGGCAACTTGTAGTGGATTTGCATTACAAATATAATAATCTGCTTTTTGATGTAATATTGACTAAAATTATCACTATCGAGGTGATCAAACTTGATTGTAAAAAAAAGAAAAAAAAAGAGACGTTTTTAACTAATTTCATTATTTTCTCATTTGTATCTGTTAAATAACAAAGAGAACAGCATTTATTTGAAATATTTTGTAACATTATAACTGTCTTTATTGTCACTTTTGATCAATTTAATGCATCCATGCTGAATAAAAATATTGATTTATTAAAAAAAACAAAAAAAAAACGTACTGACCCCAGACTTTTGAAGGGTAGTACACGTGCAATATGCAAAACGACCCAAATGCAAAAAGATGCAGATCTTGTGTTCTCTCTGTTCCAGATGCGGGTTATGAGTTTGACATCTGCTACACGTCTGTGCTGAAGCGTGCCGTCAGGACCCTGTGGCTGGTGCTGGACCGCATCGATCAGATGTGGCTGCCCGTGCATCGCACCTGGTGTCTGAACGAGCGGCACTACGGCGGCCTGACGGGCCTCAACAAAGCCGAGACGGCGGCCAAACACGGCGAGGCGCAGGTGAAGATCTGGAGACGCTCCTACGACATCCCACCTCCACCCATGGACCCCGAGCACGACTTCTACTCCGCCATCAGCAAGGTGAGCAGGACACTGATAATCAGCAGAAGTGTTTCTTGAGCAGCAAATCAACATGCTAGATTGATTTCTGAAGGATCATGTGACACTGAATGTGATGTTGCTGCAGGACCGTCGCTACGGCGACCTGACGGAGGACCAGCTGCCCTCGTGCGAGAGCCTGAAGGACACTATCGCTCGAGCGCTGCCGTTCTGGAACGAGGAAATCGTTCCTCAAATCAAGGAGGGCAAGAGGGTCCTCATCGCTGCTCACGGCAACAGCCTGCGAGGAATCGTCAAACACCTGGAGGGTGAGAAACCCTCTCAAATACCTTAAAGCCCAGGCCCTGATATTACACCATACAGTATATACACCCGAAAAACACCCTGAATGAGACCAAGAGGAGTCTGGTGGGAGCTAATGCATAGGATCCTATGAAATCGGTTTCATTTTTCCTACATTTTTTTTTTTTTTCCATTTTAATGGTTACATTTCATTTTAGTAATAAAAAAACATGTCCAATTAATTGAAATCATGAAACGTTTAACACCAATTTATTAAACGTTTTTCTTTATAAAATGTATTTTTCTTCTTTCTTTTTTTTTTTTATAAATTTTTCTGGATTTTGTTTTAATGGTTTAATAAAATTGTAAAAATCAAAAAGCATGTCTAATTAATTAAAAGCTTGAAACATATACAATGTAACAATTTATGAAATGTTTAACCTAAATTACTACATTTTTAGGGCCCTAAAGAAAGCATCAGAAAGCATGTCTAAATAATTTTAAATCATGCAACTTATGCAATTTAGCAACACATTATTAATTAAATTTGTGTCCTATGAAAACTTTTATTTTTTACAAAAAGTCTGTTTTCTTTTTCACAAATTCAGTGTTTTCTGTTTTAATGGTTAAATCAATTTTAATAATCAAAAAGCATTTATAATCAATTAAATTCATAAAAATTAAAAAGTGTATTATTTTTTAACGAAAAATAGGGCCCTGTGAAGCTTTTTTTTTTCACATATTCTGTGGTTTTATTATTCTCATCCTAATTTGATTTAATGCAAATTTATTATCAAAAATGTTGGCAATCAAGTGAAGGCAAAAAATGACAAATTATATGAATTTTTAAAATGTAATCAAATTAAAATATAATTTTTGGGGGCAAATAAAGTGCTGCACAACAGAAGTTTACTGTCAAAATTAAAACATGCAAGAACAATTGTGATGTTCCTTAAAAAATAAAGTATAAATAATTGTATTATTACTTTTTGAAGTACCTTCCACTGTACAATAGTAATATACAATAGTATATTAATAATAGTCAATAGTCTGTCAGAATTTCTCTTGATTAATTTATCCAAAATTTGCCAAATTTTGTGACATTGAATTATGCTGCAAATTCCATTTTTATGACTGGATTCCACAATCCTGTCCTTGTTTTCAACATTACAGAAATCATAGGGCCCTACATGATGCGTTATTCACACTGGCTCTTAATAATATCCAGATTAAGGTTTTTCTAAATATCTTAGCAAATGCATAACAACACCCTGGCAACCATCCACAGCGGATTATAACCTGTGTGTTTCTGCCAGGTATGTCAGAGGAGGCGATTATGGAGCTGAATCTGCCCACAGGAATTCCCATCCTTTATGAGCTGGACAAGAACCTGAAGCCTGTGAAGCCCATGCAGTTCCTGGGAGATGAAGAGACTGTCCGCAAAGCCATGGAGGCCGTCGCTGCTCAGGGCAAAGCCAAGAAGTAGATTATTACTTTGCATTCCTCCTCACAAATGCAACCAGTGTTATACCGTGAGCCTAGAACCAAACCACTGACCAATCATTCATTTCCAAATGCTCTCAATCGGGACCATCCCAATACAATTCAGATGTAACTGCTTGGGTATGTGTGTAAATGCAGTGAAACTGAGCCACAAGGAGGGATTTTAGCTTTATATTGTCTCGGCACTGAAGATCCTCGGTCGCATATTTCAAATGATGGCACATGTGTTTGTCTGTGATGGCATGGCTTTGACAACTGTTGCCAGGCAACCGCATATATTAATCACCGGGTGGGCTGCAGAAGTGGTGCGTTTCCCCGTCTTTTGCGTGATTCATGCTTTGTACCGCTGCTAAATATCTCTGAACACCCACAGAAATGTTCTTGAATTATCCCACGAGATCTGCGTAACGGTTCGTTTTTAGGATTCACCTGCACCTAGAGTCGAGAAGTGAGTTTGGTTGGTGATTAACAGCAGATTATATTCCCGTGAGCTTTTTGGAGACGTCATTTTCTGTCACTTTTTATGTGGTAAATGTCACTGTATGTTGAAGACGTGCTGTAATCCATGTCACGTTCAATGCATTTTGACCCAAGTCTCCTGCAAACATTCACCATTAAGGAAATGTTGAATATTGTGCCCCAATATTCAGTAATTATATAATTTTGTCTGTTCTTTTGCATTTTGTTTGTACAGCAATTGTTCAAATTATTTTAGAGATAGAGTTATATGTACACATATGTGAGTTTATGTGCAAGCCCTAATAAATGTTGGCTTACTTAAGCAGAAATAAGTTGCTTGATTCTGATTCCTAATGACACAGAATACAAACATATCTATCACAATAGATCATTAAAAAACATACAAATCAATATTATTTTTGTCATGTATCCTAAACTTCTAAATGCAAACCGTATGTTAAAAAATGGATAAGAAAGGTGTTTTTTAATTTTTTCTGTAAAATATTAATCAGTGAATATTGACTTTATGTAAATAATGAAGTTGCAATTACTAATATAATTAATAACACAAGAATAATATTTTTTCAAGTTCCAAAAAACTTGGCATTTTGCATATACTTAATAGTATATCCAAACCTTCTCCATTCAATTCTTCCCGACTTATATTTACATTTACAGCCACAACAAATATGGCGGTTTACGCGAACCGCCTGCGATGAAGTGACCAATCAGAGCGCGAATTGCCCGCTGACTAATAGCCAATCAAAGCGCGACTCTCGCTTCTAAACG